TGTTTTGGATAGATACCGTATACCTTTCCAATTCTGTATTAGTTCCTGGAGTTGAAGCCTTTTCATTCCGCAGAGCATCTTCTAAGAGTCGGTTGTAGAGTTCTACAACCTCCTAGGGTCGCGCGATTTGTAAGGCTTTTTTCCAGACTAATATTATAGGTTAGCCAGCGGTGGTCAGACATAGAGATATCCTTCGATACTTGCCAGTTCTGAATTTTATTCCATATTTCAGCTGTTGCTAGCGTGATATCTATGACTGTTTGGCTACGAACATTAATAAAGGAAGGTTCGGTGCCTCTATTTAAGATATACAAATCTTTTCTTATAATATAGTCATAAAGAGACATCTCGAGCGTTATTATCTCTGCTGCCCAAGCCTAAATGGTAAGAGTTCGAATCGCAGCCGATAATAAGTTCTACCTTCTGACTGAGACAATGTTTTACCAGATCTTTCATTTCCTTTGTTGGTGGTAAGAAAATTAAGTTGAAAACGGATTAAATTTTCATTATAGACACCCTAAAATATTACCAATTATCCATAAAAGTTAAAATAGATACCTATGCAGATGTTTTATTGTTGTATTTTTGATGTTTTTGTTATGGGTTTTTATTATTTTTAGTTTTGGATTTTGTATGTTACTATTGCTGTTACAACTTTTAGGGCAGAAGTCACAATACCACCTATAAGATATCTTGTGTCCCTTTTCTTGCCTTCTCCTAATAATTTGATAGTTTTAAGCTTTTTGGGAAAACAGGTCTATTTATTTTGTTGAAATTGTTTTATCACTGACATCTGTCAAATATATGATGTCATCGAAAATTTTATTAAAGCACAATATATGGCATGAGCTCCTGTCGAAATTTTTGTACATCTGTGTTACATTTCAAACACTTTTTTTACTTTCAATTAGATAAAAACTGTTTTCTGTATCTAATGCCGTATTAGTGACACAGGAGCTTTAAAACGACTGATCACATGTAGGAAAAATTTCGATGACGATACATTTTTGACAGATCTCAATTGAAAAACAAATGAGTTCTACCCAAGGCGTGAAAGTGAAAAAATATCTTTACAAAAATCCATATGCAAATAGTGTGATAAAAGAGCTTTTTTATGATGTAGGTATTACTTTTATGGTTTATAAAATACTTGGGCGTCAGGACTTTGAATCTTTTTTGATTATAATTTTCAAGAAATATTTTTGATTGTCTAATTTCCTTGTTAGCTTGGTTAATGTTTGAATCTTTTGTGATATACTTCTCTTTCGATTCCATACATCTTTAAACTGTTACCAATTCCGCAAAAACCGCTGAAAACTAAGTATATCATTTTTTGTGAGAACATGCTACAACCAACGCAACGTGGATTCGTTTAAATGACACTCAAATTGAGAAAGTATCAAACTGCAAGTACTTGGGAACTTTAATAAATGATAGTGTAGACCAAAACAAATACATAAAAAGACGTATCGAAATTTCCAGGGCACTTTCATTTAGATAAAAAAATTCTTTTGCAATAGGGACATTAGTATCCCACTACCTTTAAAAATATTGACAGGATATGTATTTAACACCCTATTGTATAGAGGCCTGGATTCTTTAACCAGAATAATATTAAAATATTGAAAGCCTCGAGGTGTCAAATACTAAAGCTAAGTTGTATATATCGGTCACAAACGTTGAAGTGCTACGTCGTATAGGAAAAGAGCCGGAAGTTATTTTAACTAGAAAGGGAAGAAAACTCAAATATTGAAGCCACCTATATGCGAGGACAAAAATAGGCATTACTTCAAAGTATAATGCAGGGAAAAATTGAACGAAAAAGTAATCCAGGAATATCATAGTTACGAAATTTGAGAGAGTGGTTTGGCTGCATTACGAATGAGCAATTTAGATCACTTGTAAAAAATATCATGATTGTCTTGATAATTTTCAATCTCCGATAGAAGTGGTGCAACAATAAGAAGAATTCCGCAAAAAGGTTTCAGTCTCTTAAAAAGTATTTTGGCAATTTGGGGCACCTCCACTCCGGTATCTATCGAAATCGATAAGAGGTGTAACTAAATTTTTCTTAATTAATTCATGTAATTAATTGCTTTAAGGCATTCCCACGTTAGTTTGGAGCTGATTACATGTGACTTCAGTGCCTTGATTGTTGTTAATTTCTTCTACCTTTTGTTATTGTATATATACCCTATATACTAAAAATATTTGTAGTATATTGATGAGACTAATTTTATGTAGACAGTTTTTTAATATACATGTTAATATTCTATCTATACAGCCCTTAACATCCATCCTTGGATATAGGCCTCCTCCTCCTTCTTCCATGCCTGTCTATCTTGGGCAATTTGCATCCATTTTGACCCGGCGTGTTTCTTCAGGTCATCTGACCATCGCATTTGTGGCCTTCCCCTTTTACGTTTGTGATTCCATGGTCTCCAATGTATAATTGTTTTAGTCCATCTTTCTGCCTTAGGGTGTGTCCGGCGAACTTCCATTTAAGCTTTGCTACTTGGGTTGAGACATCTTTCACTTTTGTTTTATTACGGATCCATTCGTTTCTTTTTTTGTCTGATAGTTTAATGTTCAGCATTTGTCTTTCCATGGATCTTTCTGTCTTTGCTATTTTTTCCATATTTTCCTTTGTAAACGTCCATGTCTGAGAGCCATATGTGAGGACAGGGAGTATACATTGATTGAAGACTCTCGTTTTTAAGTATTGGGGGTATTTTGAATTCTTTAGAATATAAGACAGTTTTTCGAATGATGCCCAGGCCAATCTTATTCTTCTCTTTATTTATTCGGTCTGATTTTCTTTATTTAATTTAGTGATTTGGCCTAGATATATATACTCTTTTACTTGTTCTATTTTTGTTTGTGCCACTGTAATTATAAGTTCTTCTGGTTCTTGTTTTACTATAATTCATCTTGAGTCCAATTTTTGTCGATTCTCTATCTAGTTCTTCCATCATTCTGTGTAATTCTTCACTTCTTTCTGTTATTAATACAATATCATCAGCATATCGTAAATGATTCAGATTTTGCCCGTTTATATTAATTCCCGAGTCATCCCAGTGTAGTAGTTTAAAAACATCTAGCGCTTGGTTAAATAACTTGGGCGAGATGGTATCTCCTTGTCTTACTCCTCGGTTTATTTTAATAGGCTCCGTTTGTTTCATTAGCTTAATAGTTGTTGTTGCCTTGTTGTATATATTTGTAATTAAGTCGGTATATCGGTAGTCTATTCTGCTGTTTTGTAGGGAATTCTGTACTGCCCAGTGTTCCACACTATCAAATGCCTTCTCAAAGTCAATAAATGCCATGTATAGCGGGATATGATATTCGTTAGTTTTTTCGATTAAAATCTTCATCGTTAAAAGGTGGTCACTTGTACTGAAGCTCTTTCTAAATCCGGCTTGTTCTCTTGCCTGGTATCCATCTAATTTATTTGTTAATCTATTTGTTAATATTTTGGTTAATAGTTTGTACATCACATTTAATAAAGTTATGGGTCTGTAATTCTTTAGATCCTTTTTATCTCCTTTCTTAAATAGTAACAGTGTTATTGCTTCGTTCCAACTGTTGGGTATTTGTTTTGTCATTAAAATTTTATTCATAAGTATGTACAAAACTTCTCTAGTTGTTTTCCCACCATGTTTTAGCATTTCTACAGTCACCCCGTCTTTTCCTGGCGATTTATTGTTCTTCATCTCTTTGAGTGCTCTTCTTATCTCGTTCTTACTGATCTCTGGTTGTAAGTCGGAATTAACATTTTTTATTTTTATTTGTAGTTGCTTAAGGATTTCTTGGGTTGGTTTCTGTTTTGTATTGTAGAGGTTTTTATAATATTCTTTTGTTATCTGTATAATTTCTTCTACATTATTGGTACAGAGACCAATAATGTTAATATTATAAAAAAATTATAAAATGCTAACATAAAGTAAATATAAATGAAAAAAAAGAGGTTAGTCTTCGTAAATGGGTATATTTATTTAAAAAACCCTTAAAAGGACTACATCAATAAAACAAACGTTTTCGGACCACACAGTTCATCATCAGGTTTTAAAATCGAAAAATTGCTAGGTCACAATGTCTGAGCCACCAAAATACTAGGGTAAAAACCCTTTAAATTACATTTAGTTATAAAAGATTATACATCGTGTTGTAAAATAACTGTGATGTTCAGTATTAACTTAAATTTGGCTACAGGTTTGGCTACAGGTAACACATGGCTGAAGCGAGTTCCAGAGCCGGTGAGAGAACCTCTACACACGGAGAACAGCTGGTAACTTCTCCGTGGGTAGAGGTTCTCTCACCGGCTCTGGAACTCGCTTCAGCCATGTGTTACCTGTAGCCAAATTTAAGTTAATACTGAACATCACAGTTATTTTACAACACGATGTATAATCTTTTATAACTAAATGTAATTTAAAGGGTTTTTACCCTAGTATTTTGGTGGCTTAAGCATTGTGACCTAGCAATTTTTCGATTTTAAAACCTGATGATGAACTGTGTGGTCCGAAAACGTTTGTTTTATTGATGTAGCCCTTTTAAGGGTTTTTTAAATAAATATACCCATTTACGAAGACTAACTTATTTTTTGTGATACGTGGTATACAGCCAGCTACAGGAATTTTTTCCTTGTGGATTTTAAATATAAATGGTTTTAAGAAACAAATTGGCCTCATATTGGACCAAAATTCAATATAATTAAAAAAATTTGTTTTTACTACTGCAAATAGCAAAAATTGGTGAGAATGTGTAATTATATTGTAACTACGAGTATTATATGTTGAGAGGTCATTGTGCAGACGTATGTAGAGACGTTTAGACTTTCCGAGCTGCTTACTAACTATAGTGTTGTGGTGGTGCGCGCATTGTGTACCCGTCAAAGCATTTCACTGTCTTTTAACCCGTAAATATACAACTACTAATGCTTTCTTACTGCTGCTTTTGTTAACCAAGAACCCAAGGTGAAGGTAACCATTTTGTTTCAGTTGCACCGCGACTGGAACTCACGAAGTTGCACGAACGTAAATCGGGTATGCAAGACACCTGTACCCACGTCTACTTCGGCCAACATGGCTGCTACTCTGTCTCGGCCGATCAGAACAACACCTACAAACCTTATTCCGGATATTGAGTCTAACAACACTTCCACATTACCTTACTTCCGTAATTTCTATAAAATCTCATCTAACAATCCAAACATACCTAAATCAATTTCCACTTGGGGTCCTCTACACAAACCTTTACACTCTAAGGTGCGTAGCTTCTCTAATTTTACACATTTTTCCTCACAAAACCACTTGCATGAAGCTTAAAACTCCTCTATTACTTTGTAAATTAATTTTTTATAACAAGCACACACCCACCATTCACGATTCCCCTCCTCATAATTCATTGAAGGCAACTCTTAAGGAATATTGAATGAGGCCACTATTGCACACTCTTATAAAGAGTTTATGATGATAATAAGAAACAGAAGAAATATTACAAAAACCAAGCAAATAAACAAATTAAGGTACACGACAATATAAGTAAGACAGTTCAATAGTATCTTTACAAAAATTACAAAAGACAGATCAGGAACACCATAATACATAGACGTAAATGGTATGCCAATCAACTTGTTTAACCTGAAGAATACTAGGAATTTACACGTCTATGAATTTGATGCAATTTAACACACCGTGACTGTATATACTAACGAAACTATATACCTACCTCAAATTCAATAGAGCTCGTCTTTGGACCAAGACAACCACACGATTCTAGTCTAGTTCTTAATAAAAGAGATTAGTAACAGAAAAGTATGGAACAATATGTTGGCCTGAAATGAATGAAGCACTTACAGACCTTTTGTATACAATTGTGCTATTTTAATGCTTAAAAACTACTTAAGAATGTTTAGATACATATAAAATGTAAGTAATATGCGTTTTAAGCTTAAAATCAAATGGTTTGTGTATAATATTTTTAATTGATATATATCAAGCATGATATTTTTCTTTAATATATAACGCTAGATATTAGAAAGATACTAATAATGTATTATAGTTACTGGCTAAATTTTCCTACTTTAAATATCTAGTTTATTTAAAATTATATTAAATATTTTCATTAGAGATTATATAAAAGGGCAGTTCTAACACAAAATTATATTAACCACACAAATGTCTTAATACTCCGACTGTTAGATCTAAAAATGAACTATGCACATTTAAATAAAAGTGAAACTTTTCTAAACCGTTCTATTCGACATTCTGTATACATTATTCCGTTGAAAGTTCATTGCACGGCATCATTGACACTTCTACCTTATCACAGTTTAACCAATTGTTTATAAATAAAAATAATTCACAGATTATATTAAATAAACAAGGGGTTGAACTCCCTTTGATCGTATTAACACGTAAAGTGCCATGGGGGACAATCGTTGTCCTCCATTTGCATATCTTGTTTTCCATGCATGTGGCCCTGGGGGACACATGCTGTCCGACAGGTCAGTTCAAACTTCTAGCCGCGTCCCACTATGTTTGTTAGACAGATCTTTAACATTTAAGATATATGTAAGCGGTGAGAGCATATATTGGACAATATGGACCATTAATTGGTTTGAGTGTCAGAAAATTTTACGATAGGTTTGAAGAAGGATTTTCTACAATGAAAAAAATTTCAATATTTAGCATTTCAGAAATCTTTATTTTGAGGTAGATGCATGTTTTTTAAAATAACAAGGTAAACAATAAGATTTGGAACACGTATTGCAATACAGTTTTGTTTTTGGCAACTGTTTTTCCCGATTTTACGAGTTCTGCGTATCACAGAACAACATATTAGCTTGTTCGTTGTTCGTAAAATGCCACATTTTTAACAAAACTTGAAAGCGGTTTCTAGACAAAATATGTTTTAGTGAATTTTGATACAAATTTTTTTTTATCAGTAGGCAGAAAGGGAAGGAAGCTGAACTAATCCTATCCATATAAGGCATCCTATAAATGCTTCCACTTAATTCTCCGTGGTGTCTTTCCAAGTTTAACTCGGGAGTGTTTAGAGGTAGTTTTAGCTTTATGTTGATGTTGGGGGTCTTGATTATTACTTTGTATCTCTGATTTTGGAGAAACGTTTACTTGTACGTCAAATTTTATAACTTTTGTTACCCGCTGCCATTTTTTATCAAAACTAGGCAATCTTGTACTTTTTTGCGTCATGGAATCATCAGAATCAGAGCTTTCGTTATCTGAGGGCTCGTAGTCTCTTTCATCTGGCGAAAAATTATGTTTATCTCCAGAGAGAACTTCGTCCCACAATTTCTGCAATTTGTTCACGTTCGTTTTCACCCATAATTCACAAAATAAACTCGAAACTACTAAATTCAAAAAATAAAAACTAATAAATTCGCAAACTAACTCGAAAATATTCATAAACTATCACGTACGTATTTTATAACCTCGCCGGACTGCAGTTTCCACGATAATACCAGTCTAAACACGAAAATGCGTCAAACGCGCGTGCTTCATGGGTTGGACACGCCTATCCCCAACGGAACTTATTCATATTTTTAAAATAAAATGTTTCAAATAAATTTAAAAACTTAGCCGGCCAATATGGACAGTTTAATATGATTTCCATTGCGGCACTTTACGTGTTAAGACGGAATTGAAGCTAGCGGGCGCTATTTTTCGGCGGAAAAAATTAAAGGGTAATAATTTGAAAATTCACTTGACTGTATATAAGAAAATTTTAAAAGATCTCGTTTATGTTAGCTTTATTTATGATTTTTTATCATGAAATCATGAAATTTTCGACTTCCTTTGTCAACTAAAAACTTGTAAGCAAGCAAAACGATTGTTTTATGCCAAAACAATTACAGAAAAAGATAACTATCCCGCAGATATAACGTTACACACTTTTTAGTAAATAAATTTTAAGAAAAAGGAGAAAAAAGATTGTTGATTGTTTAATTTGGATATTTATTCTATATTACAATAATGTAGGTATATTAACAAAACAGTTTATGTTTTTTATACAAAGTTCAAGAATGACTGAATACGATATATTTAGTTAGTTCATGTCATTTTAAGCTTTTCCCCAATCCAAAAAGAAGTTCTATATAGTATAAATACATTGCATGCGTCATATATTATTGAAGTGAAAGCTTCTTTAGCGACGTTGTGCACGTAAATAAACTTAATTTATAATCATTTTACTTATAATTTAATTAACTTTATTGTCTGTGTAACAGAAGCATAAGAACGATCGGATTGTGGTTTAAAAAAATATCAGATACAATCTAAACACTTCAGTTTGGGAACAATTTTCCTAATAACATACATATAAAAAAGGATAGAATCAAATCCAATTTAGATTTCTCATCATCTACCAACACAATGTTGAATTCTTTCTAAAGAAGATTTATGCAAATTTCCATTTCATTATCTTCAAAGAATATGGTTTTCACTTTTCTCCACACACGTGGAATGCATCTCCCTTATTTTCATTGTTATAAAAATACACTTGTATGTCTAAAAATTGAATATTTTTCTGCCATCTTACTTAAAACCATTCACAGAAAATTCCATATATTTATCAGGGAAACAAGTAAAATTTCAAACAATGTTTACATTTTGCCCCCTTATTTGTGCCCACCTAGCGGAAAACACGCTCACTAAACTGTCAAAATCTTCTTCACTTATTGTCCTCCAGTTCTACATCTAGTTTATTATTAGTACATCTATGGAATAATTTTAGAATTATTTTGACATCGTATTGTCAAAATAATAAATGAAACGTATTAACGTGTGCTACTAAAAAACATTGAGAAAAATCAAATAGACTTACTGGGTATAACAGAGGCCAAAAAAAAGGGAAAAAAACACAGTTTTTAGAAAATGGACACTTCCTCATCACTAGTGGAGTGTCACTTGGCGAAAGGGCAAAAGAAGGGGTAGGCTGCCTGATACACAGTAACCTAATAAAGAATATTCAAGATTGTGAAAGTTGGACGCTTAATGATAAACCAAAATCGAAAATACAGAGCATAGAAATGAAGTTTCTTGGAAGAATAATGGGTTATACAGGATTAGAAATGAGGCAGTCAGATAACATCTTAAGGTCCAACCAATTATTAAGAAAATTGAAGAGGCCCAAATGAGATGGTATGGACACATGGTTAGAATGAATCAAGAAAGACCAGTTAAAAAAGTATGGAAAGCCAGAAGACAAACCAAGAGACCAAGGGGCAGCCCAATGAAGACATGGGATGAAAATGTAACCTTAATCCTAGAGACACGAGGAATCAGCAAAGAACAAGCAAGAAACCAAGCAAAGAATAAGAAGCAATAGAGAAAAATTGTACATGCAACTAACTAAAGACATTACACCCGACATCTTAGGGTAATATATATTGTTTTTATCATTTCATAATTCCATACATTCCAGAATTGGATGTCGTGCAATTAACTTTCGCGCACTAGTATCGTATTATTTTTCGCTTTTCGTGGTACTTTCACATTTTTCTTTAAGAAACAAAGACATAATTGCTGCTTTCTGAAAGACACAAATTTAATCAAAATATACATAAAAAAATTAATATATGTCTTACCTACAATTCTAATAAATTCGATAATTATTCCTGTATTTAATTCTTTATTTTTATTTTATACATGCCAACAAACAATCTTACCGTAATAATTATAAATCCATGTGAAAATTGTAAGTACTTTTGACAAAAATGTTATTGTTAACATTGACAGTTGGCCGTTTTCTAAGGGTTCGCTATTTTATTTATTATTCTAGTTATGCTTTCAAAATAATTTGAAAATATCAAACTGACTGTTTTAAGGAAATATTGAAAGTCTGGAAATACTACAATCTATAAGTTGCTTACATTTGGCGCAATTCAGGGATATAAACTATCAATTAGCCCATGTTATAAATCATACTTCATACATTATAAAAAAATATATTATTATTTACATAATGTTTAGCTTGACTTGTCACTCCTCTTCGTCAAAGCTTTGCTTCAAAACAAGTTTTCATTGTTGTTTCAAATTTTAGCTACAATTTTATTAAATCGTTTAATTTTTCTTTCAGAACATTTCTTTTAAATCATGCAGTCGTGATTCCGGACACGGAGGATCAGAGCAAGAGGATTCACCTAGGTCCCACATGGTACTAGTAGGCAATGCTGTCGAACCAGGACCTGGACATCTCATTACGTTAAATACCAAAGACATTCGCCATCAGATGCTACAAGAACAACCGACCGATCTCGCCGACTTTGATATATGTTTGGAACCAAATATCCATCCCAAACATCTAGCCCTACCTCAGAACTTTCACAAGAGGAAACTTCCAGGCATGAGTCATCATACATATACAGAAATCTACGATTCTCAAATTCCCAGAGGTTTAATTGAGGATGATCCTGTGTATGAAGAAATTGATAGAAGTGAGATTCAGGTTTCTGATATGAGTGATGAAGACGGTAAGCGACAAAGCGATATGAGCCGGCAATCTTCAAGATCCTATGGCGACCATCGACCTTTGATTCCGTATAGTCCTGCCAACGAAAGGAATTTCGCTGATGTAATGAAGCATTACGCCAAAGATTTCAATCATGGCCCACCATCCATCGGTATGGATACCTACAGAAGACGCAACATGGCATACCGTGTTGGGATGACAGGTGATACATCAGTTCGCTCCCTAGCAGCCGTTTTAGATGGAGAAACCGTGGTTTGTCATCTAGAACCTCCAGAGAATCAGTATCCCAACGATACGTTCGTCTCACGAACTTTAGTCCTCCCCCCTTATAGTGAGAGTTAAGAATTAGGAAACTGCCATTGCAAGTGAATATCTGTGATTACCACATGATCGGACTGTAAGGTCATACATCATCCACAGCGAATCCCAAAGTAAAGGTTAAAATACTACTTGCTTTATCACTTTTTATATATTTTTTATCATTTTGAAGTAATTAGTTTTTAACAACCACAAAACGAACAATTTTTAAATTTATATATACTTTTTAACCATTATTACTTTTTTGACTTATAACCCTCAATCAATATTTATAATCCCATTCATTATGAGATATTGTCACACTATTTTTATAGCATAAAGCTAGTTTTTTCATTTAGAAATTATTTTATTACTTCATATTAATCACTGGGTGTAGGCTTCTATAGCTGTGTTTGAAAATGTACATTGTTAAGATATAGACAGTGGTCCAGCATAATTTCTTCCTGAAGTTTCTTCTGCAACTGCAGCAGAAAGAAAGGAAAAAATAATCTAGACCATGGTCATAAAAGCAGGAAAAAAATGTTATCACGGATTACATTGTTATTAATCTTCCAACGGTCGCGCGTATTTCCTAGATACGCTAAATGCTAATTAGTTATTTTAAGATGTATGTAATGAAATATTGTAATATATTCGGTGGAAAATTGATACACTATATTTCTTAAATTTTTTTATCGAATTTCATTAAAAACAACAACGCTGTCATAAATCCCAGATGTCTCCTAGATATTGCACATTGCACATATTATTGTATCGCAGTTTTGCAGACTTGACAAATATGCTTTGAATTTTACATACAATGAATTTCTGACAAATTTCACAGCTGAAGCGCGTGATCCTTGAACGTTTATCATTTTGACAAGGCTTACATCTTCTTTTTGCTGTGGCCTCCTCTACTGTCTCGATAACTAATTCTGCTTTTCTTTTTGACATTTTTTCTTTGAGCTCATTTTGAAGGGAGTATTGTTTTCTTCGTTCGACGTGTCCTTTCACAAGAGCATTTGAAAGTAGTCGAAGTATTTTTTCGTTATTATTGGTGGAATAGATTATATAACTATTGATCGCGGCTACATTTAACATGGAAAAAATACTGCCATCTTCTGGTGTTTCTGGCAACATTGTAACAAGCACAAAGTTTGTCTACTGTATCTACACCTCCCTTTGCCTTGGGATCTACAGCTTCTATATGAGTGGGATCATTGCGATTGAAAATCTTCTTCTTATCCGTCATTTCTAAAATAAAATAAACAAAATGGAACTAATTGCCACAAATGGTCGCGTGTATATGAGAGATACAGACCTCTTATATCAACGTAGAAAGTTTTCAACACAAAAAATGCATGAAATTGCAATATGTTATCAATATTACAATAAGAATAATGTAACTATAACAAAAAAAACAGCGAAAAGCACCCGATCGCAGCGCAGCGTAAGTAATATATATCATACTAAATCTATTACCCGTGTATCTACCACATACGCGCGACCGCTGGAAGGTTAAACTGGATAGTGAATGAATCTTATAAATTGCTGATATTTCCATTTGTCTTCATTCTACAATTTCTTTTATTATAACTTATTGTGTAATTTTCATGTCATCCCAACACAAATTGCATTTGATTTCTTTAAATGAACAGTCAAGATATTTATTTACAGTTGACAGACTCTCATATTATCATTACCTACTGTGATTCTAGCATAAAGATGTGTCTGTATGCTTTATCGTTATAAATTTTCATAAACACGCTAAAAGAATTTGTAAAAAATTGCAAAAATCTGTTCTCTTATCCTCGATTCTGCATTTAATCACAATTTTGTCCCAGTGTACATTTAATCAGCAAATAAAATGTTTATAGGTTTCTGGAACCTAAAATAAAAATGGAAAAGTTTCTAGAACTATTTTTATGACAGTAGTGTTGATCAAGAGACAATTAATTGATTGTTTTGGCTATTTTTTAACTGCTAACTTTTTGTATGTACAATTTCATTGTGTTTTTACTATAAATGACATAACGACGTTTTTATGTTGACTATTAGTTGTTATAAAACTAATTTTTAATTTATTTGTTTACAAATGTAACCTTTATTCTGGGAAAAGCTGCTATACATATACTTAGAAAAGCTCAGCTTGTATGAATGATGAAGGAAAGTGATAATTTTATAATAATCAACTATTTTATAAAAACTTAAAAACTACTGTGAATTGAATGAATATATCTTAATTGTCAGATATACGGTATTTCCCAGTCTGTAACCGGAAAGAAAAAGTTGATTTTGATAATCGTTTGTAGAATATACGATTGGTTTGTGTATATATAGTAGTAGTGTGCCTTTTTTATACTCAAAAATTCTATTTTTGAATGGAAATTTAAGTTTCGTGTTAGTTTTCTCGAATATTTTATTGTACTCTGAAAAAGTATAAATGTATTGATATTTTTGGCTCCCAAGACTTCAAAAATGAGTACAATTTTATAGAAAATCATTTGCTGAAAGCCATATGAATACACAGTTTATCTAAATTAATTAATGTCAAATTTTTTCCATATTTTTGTTAGAAATCTGTTAAATGGTTCTCAAAATATTTTTTGTGGCATGTTTCACACTGGATATTTTATATTTTTGGGAAGAAACCACAATGGTCGTAATTAAACTTACATGTTTTCGTTTTGACGATTCAATTTCAAAAATATAAGCTGTTAAAGATTGATGCAATCTGTAAAATATTGTTTTCTATTTATATTTATATTTAGAACAAAATACAAACACTAGTAATGTAGGTATATGACAAACTTTAAATAGTTGCAAACAGGAAGTCTTTAAGGGTACCATTGTAGGATCTTGAGGGACACTATTCAATAATGTGGTCGATGGTTTGGTTCTCCCCACAGTCACATTGAGGAGACGGGTTCTTTCCCCATTTATGTAGCATGTATGCACATCTGCCATGTCTGGTTCGGATCCTGTTTAGAGTGGACCATGTTTTACGTGGAAGATCAAAACCTGGTGGCTTGTGGGTAATACAGGGCATGTTATTTTGCCATGCATTCCATTCTTGGGACCATGCATTCGTGATGTTGAACTCCTCATGTATCATTCTTGCCGTTTTCATTGGTGGTTTTCTAGAACGTAGACGGGTATTTCGTCCATCCTCGGTAACTTGGTCGATCGGCAGGTTTATATTGTTCATGATCTTTTTGTATTGACGTGTAAGTGCGTCAGCTCGTCGTAAATGTGGAGGTGGGATGTCTTAATACTGGAAGCCTTTGGGTGGGAGTTGATCTAATTGTACCAGCTATCATCCTCATAGTGCTGTGCAGCTAAGTGTCGACCTTTTTTACATGTGGACTGTGTATCCAAACTGGGGCACAATATTCACCGGTCGAGAAAATAAGGGCTAAGGTAGTAGAGCGGAGAGTGGAAGCCGATGCTCCCCAGGTGGTACCGCAGAGCTTCGGTATTATGTTATTTTTTGTACTCAACTTTTGGGCAGTTTTTGTTAAATGCTCTTTAAATGATAACGTTCTGTCTAGTGTTACCCTCAGCTACTTAGGTGTTTTGTTGTGGGTAAGTGTGGTATTTTCAAACCGTATGTTGAGTTCCTTTCCAGCAAGTTTATTGTTCAGACCTTCTTCAGACGTTTCGAGTGTTCTGCATCGTGTAGTGAGGGCCCAGTCATCGGCGTATCCGAACTTTCTTGATTGTGTTTCCGGTATATGTGCTAAGTATAAGCTAAATAGTAATGGAGAGAGCACTGACCCCTGTGGTAGGCCATTCTTAAGTTTCTTTGGTGGGCTGAAACATGGTCGTTGAGCATGCTATCTATTAGGCGTGCTATTGGTTTAGAGAGGATTACACGGAGAATTTTGTTACATAATGCCCTCTCTCCATACTGTATCGTAAGCTGCCGAGAGATCAATAAATATCGTTGAAGTTTTAAGTCTTCTTTGGAAACCCGCTTCGATGTAAGTGCTGAGTGACATTACCTGGTCCGCGCAGCTTCGTTCTGGTCGAAAACCGGCTTGTTCGATTGGGATCACCTGGAACAGTTCTGTACTGATTCTATTATATATAAGCCTCTCTAATAGTTTGTAGATGGCATAGAGAAGCGCAATTGGTCGGTAGTTTTTTAGGTTGTCGGCTGGTTTGCTGGCTTTAGTATGGCTATTATCTTAGAGCGCTTTAGTTCTCGTGGAATATTTCCAGTTTCCATGATGTCTGTGAAAAATCGAGCCAGCCATACTTCTATTATTACTGGTCGATGTTGGCTGTGTGGGAAATTAGTTAGAATTCTTCGTTAAAGCTCCTAGAGGTAAGTCTTTGTTGTCGGTCGATCTTTTGCATCAAACAAAAGGTACAGGCGTTCGTCCTTTGTCCATTTTATTAAAGCATTCCCATTCGCATCACTATTTTTGTACTTCCACTGTTCATGATGGCTATTGTAATCTCCAACGTATACAGCAGGGTGAGGATGTACTTGAATTGCCTGGGCTGGCCAAGACGTAGCAGGTGGCTTGTAAATGTTGGACACGGTAATGCTAGCGATTTTTGTGACCACATTATAAATACAGTCATCAGTGGAAGTAGAGTTTAGCGAGGCATTTTTAATATCTTCTTTGACATACGTGGCTGTGCCGTATATTCGGTGGAAAGTTGCGCCTAATAGTTCATAGCCCGGTATTTTGCCCCTTTTTGTAGTTGCTTCTCTGTATAGCAACTAAGTCAATGTTGCCATCTTTTAATAGTTTTGATAAAACTGACTCTTAGTTTAGCATAGCTTATGCCTTCTATGTTTATATGGCAAATTCGAACTATAGGTCCGATTGGTCTGGTTGTGCGCTCCTCACAAGGGCCGTTTATTTTGTTTATCATCTTTCGTTGGATGTGTTGTTTGGTCATGAGATCCTAAGGATTGTCTGACTTCCAGTATGTGCTAATTCATTTAGCGTTATCCAGGGTGCATGTATAGGACGCGAACTAGCTCTACACCCCTGTTTTTTGATAACTGGCAGTAAATGAAATATTGACATTGCAATTTGTCTTAAAGGCATCAGCTATTTTACACTTATAGAGCTGAAAGCCTTGAAATTGGTTGTTATTACCTCGATTAATACCAAATTATGATCTTTCTGTGGGCATTGTTAGTTGTAAGTTGTTATCTCATTAGCTTTGGTGTTTTTGTATTGCCAACTTCTGGTTTTAATATTGTTAGCTAAATCTTGCTGCATTTTTTTGATGTGTTTGCTCCGCAATTTGGTTTATTTAGTAAAATGACTGCTCCTGCCTTAATTTTCACCTTTTTACTGTCCGTTTCTTTCAAGATTATTGATGCATTTTTTCATTGGATATGTTAATTATCCCAACTAAAATCTATCAATCCTTCTCCAAGTAAAAATGGTTACATTCACAAGATATTTTATAAATATAGTTCTTTGATTTTTCTAGTTCATTGTTTGATCTGGTTTTTGATCAAACGCTGTATGCTTCGTGTTTTTGTAAAGTTATATTTATCTCCTTTCCTTTAGAGTTTGTCTGAGAAGCTTAATCCCGATATTGTTTTCTCCTCAAATCACTTTTAAGAAAGTAGTTGAGTGTGTTGCATACCTTTAGCTCTAAAAGTTTATATTTTAACATTGTATCAAATCACAAGTTATGTCAATCTCGTTATTTTTTTTTTCTTATTTGGATTATAGCACACGGGATATTTTTTTCCAGAGTGGGAAATAGAAACGTCAAAACAATAATTACAATTAAAATATTTGTGGTTGATTCCCACAATATATTCAAATATGTCATATTGGTTGACTTTACCGAAAGTACAAGCTGAATATAGCCGCAAATGTCAAAAATATTTCGGTTTGGCAGTGTTGGCATGTTTTTACAATGCGTATTTGTATGCTTCAAATATAAAGAGATAAAGCTTTTAAAACGTACATTTTGATTATACTATTTTATGAATTCTGCAAGTTTTAATTTATATGAAGCAATAACGAGTAAATATTTGTCTCTTTCGAGATTAATTGCAAACATCTGTTGTAATCTGGTAACTGCTGATTTTACGATTGCCAAATCTATCCCCTAGTCTATCAAAAGGTAATTGCTGAAAAAAATTTCTAATAATTAACTGCAATTAATCTCCACAGAAACAAATATTTACTCATTGTTGTTTTAGATAAATCAAAAATGGCATAATTCATAACATAATATAAACAAAATGTACTTTTCTAAAGCTTGATCTTTTTATATTTGAAGCATATAGGATCTACACTATAAAAACATGCCGGCACTGCTATACCGAAATTTTTTGTTCCATGTTTGACATTTGCGGCTAATATCAGCTTGTACTTTCGGTAAACTCAACCGTCATATTTATAATGGAGCTGGATTTTATAGATAAAACTTAATTGAAGTAATACCGGAACTTATAAAAAAGATTTCATAATTGTCACTACAAAAATATAACAGCAAATATGATCATTACAGTGTTATTAAACATTCAGTGTAATGTTATATTATCTATTTATTGATTATCAATGTTTTGTTATTAAATTTCTCCTAAAAAAAATGAAACTCGGAAATTCTTCCTATTAGACGATTATTTCGTCGTTGAACGTGCTCTAACCATATTTTCTCAGTTTAGCATAAATAGGTGCCATACCGAGACATATACTAATGTATTCAGATTTAATTTGAAGGTGTTTTTGCTACTCACATATTTAACTAGGAGTTATCATTTCTACAATACGTATAAATTGTTTCTTTCTTTTTAACTGTCCAAATATTGTGTCATTGGTCTGGAGGCGGTGGTCATACTTCTCCTTTTGAGAATATTTTTGTAGCTCATCCTCAAATTGTTGTAGAATAATGTACAAAACAGCTAAAATCATCCATAAAATCCAGTCAGTGTCACCATTAGACAAACAACTGAAATAAAACACATTTAACACATAGCAGTAAGTACACTAATAGTGGTACGATAGGTTTTAACTTCGTATTTCATTCTAGTACTAATTACTGTACTCTTTAATGTCTATACAATTCATTCATGGTAAAACAACATTAAAAATAGTAAACACTTGCTACATAAAAGATGTTCCGTCCAGTCTTGTATTTTAAAACCTTTTATAGTGGGGAAAGTACCGACAAAATAGTCTAGAATGTTTATGAAATCATACGTTTTAACACGTTAAATGCTATATTATTGAACTGCTATGATTAGTGTTTGGTTTGCAACCTTTGGCTAAAGTTTTGAGGCACTGATTTAGCTTAACTAATAAAGTATATCTTGTTGTTACCTTTATTTTTTTAATAAATTACAGACATGCCCGTGGGATACAAACCAGATAAAGTAGTTTTTAGTAATCTACTTACGGAATTAGTATACCACAGCAATTTAAAGGTCAAACGTATATCAAATAAAGTGTTGTAAATTGAATATTCTGGAAAACACTATTGTGTAGGTCCCATGTGGCTTTCAGCTATTGTTTTTACTTGCGGGATATTACCACGTCTATTCTTTCTTGTTAAAGACTGACATAAGTGTTTCCCTGACCTATTAAATAGTTGCAATAAATTATCTGTCTATATTTTTAATGTTAAAAAAATTGTTAATTGCATAATGTCTGTCAAACAATTTTCATATATTTCATTTGTAGTTTTGTTGATATTTTTATGCCGACATTATTAATAGATTTCGTGTAAAAAGTAGTCCTTAAAGTAAGATATTTTTACATTTATAATGCGATATAAAAAAATGGGAATCAATAGAAAAACGGTTTGTTTTGTGTTAAATTACTTATTCTTTAAAAAAATAAGAGAAACCATATTTTAAGGACGTACTTTTTACATTTTAGAACAAATTTTTAAAAAGCATTCTACAAAAAACATTTTTAAGATTGATATTACATTTTTAAGGGCAGCTAAAAGATAAATATCTTGTTTCAGTCCGGTTTCGAGCATACTCTTTTATTTTGTTTATATTATTTCCATTATTTGTAAAATTGTATCTTGATTCAAGCCCTCGTTATATTTTTAAATGTATTTAGATTGTCGTAAGTTGCTAAATACTACTAATAGGCTATATCAGACGTTACACTTGTTAAAGTTTGTTTAGATATGCAATAAAATCGCAAAACCAAACGATATCTACTAATATGTCTTGTTTTCGCGGCTTATAGGCAGTGGTCTGAAGTTGTTTCTTCCTGTCAAACAGTCTGCGACTCCAGCAGACGTGACAGGCGATGTGACAAATCGGAGCAATCTTCCTTAACTTAAGTTGGCCTCAGGTGTTACCTTCTTCTTGTGGTGCCTAAGTAGGTAATGATATTTTTTAGGTCTTTCTCAGTTCACGAGAATTCCCTTCGCCCACATTTTCCACATCATGATTAAAACTTTGTTCGGAGTATACATTTTAGAGAAAAGAAGACAATATGCATTGCTGTTGTACTCCGGGTTATATTGAAACGAGATCTGAGAACTTATTACCTATTTTCTGTTGTTTTGTTTTATTTTACCGAGATCCCAACGTTTTATTTGGCACTTTATCTTGATTTTATCAGTTTCAGTTTAATATTGTATACTAATTAGTTATGATTTAGTTGATTTCTGTACTTTGTAACCATTTGCCATTACCATTAAATATATTAAGATGTTCTACTTACACTGAGTTTTTGATTAGTCTCTCAGGGTCTTAAATATATCATTTAGCGTAATTACATCAGAATTTGTTTATAGGGATTCTTCCAGGGATCGTTTTGCTCTTTGTCCATCGAAGTGAAGATCGCCCTCGACTCCTTCCTTTTGGTTTTTCTTTTACCACTAGTCATCCCATATTATCAATAAGTGTTATATGTCCAATAATGTCAATATCTTCTAGGAATAACTTCTGGGCCTGAGAGTTATTTCCAGGTATTTCGTATTCTTGTGTTGTGAAAGTAGGAGCTTAAACTTGGACAATAATTCTGCGTAATTATTTTCCACACTTAAGAATAAGTACTATTTATGTATTTTTTAATGGCAGCTTTTACATCGATTACCGCTTTTGATGCCTTTAGTTTCTTGCAGAGAAAATGGCCATTTGGTTGAATTTAGTAATTTATAACTATGGAAATTTATTTATTTGTAATTAGTTATGTAAAATTTTATTACAATAAGGGTGCTTTTTAAGTTGTAACTTAGTCAGCACAAAACTGTAAATATAGAAATAAAGTTTCTAATATTAAATAAAAATTTCCCATCAAAACTTGTTTTTATTATTTCAATACTTCTATTGAAATCAAAAGGACAAAGAGACCAAATAATCTACGAATTGGCACTTACATCGCATCGTGGAACAAACGGAAACAGGAAGTTGTACAGGAATTGCAGCTCCATAAAATTGCTATATGTACCCTGAACGAAACAAAAAAGAAAGGGAAAGGAAGTGCCAATAGAAACAAATTTATACTCCTGTACAGCAAAGTAGATAAAAGCAAACGAGCTCAGGCAGGTGTAGGCCTCTTAATGCACAATAAATGTAGTAACAATATTCAAGAAATAAGATACATCAACGAATACGTGATGCTGGTTTGCCTTAAACTTCACCAGACGATACTTCAATATTATCCCCGTATATGCACCGGATAGGTGCATATACGGGGAATAGATTTATTAGTACACAAAAAATTACAGAAAAATATACAGAGCATTGACTGCATTTCCCCAAGAGTTATGTTATTATGTAGAGATACAATCTGAAAATAATCCAGGTATACGCCCCCACCAGCGATTACGAAGATGAAATTGTTGAAGCCTTTTATGAGGAAATCGAAAGAGCAAAAAAGCAGGAACCGGCTCATTACAATCTGATATTTTGAGATTTTAACGGGAAACTCGGAAGGAAAAAGGACGAACAAGAAGTGGCAATCGGAGATTTTGGAATCGGAGTAAGAAACGAAAGAGGCGAAATGCTTACCAACTTTCTACTGCAACACAAACTGTATGCAATAAACACCTTTTTTAAGAAGACACAGAATAGAAAATGGACGTGGGCTAGTCCAGACGGAAGAACTAAGAGCGAATATGATTATATAATAACAGACAAAAAGCAAATTATTCAATATGTCATTGTACTCAATAAACTATCAGTAGGAAGCGACCACAGACCAGTAAGAGCTAAAGTAGCGATAAATCTACAAAAAGAAAGAGCAAAGATGATAAACAGTTGCAAACGCATAGTTTGGAATTCACCAAATCATCCAGAAGCATACATAAAAAATATAGCCGAAACTTTACAGAGTAATAATCCCAAACCTCTAAATATCGTCGATCACAATAAATTAATAACAGACTCTGTTAGAAACGCACAACTCAAATTTTGCAAGAAAAATGACAATAAAAGTGAAAAGATTAGCAAAGATACCTCTCATAGAAATACGACATGAATACACTTACATCTAAAGTAAAATTCTCATTAAGCGGTGCAGGAAAATATAAACATTAAATCGTGTCCGAACCGGTATGAACCGCTGATAATGTCGCCAGACGAAATAAAGATGGACATTCCGGTTAGTTTTTAAATATTTTTGAAGAACTGTTACTTGCATTTATGCATAAAATATTCATTAATTTTATAAATCGGAGTATTTTTTCACTTACTTTGTATTCAGTGATAACATTAATTTATTTACTATGCAATAAACACGAATATTTAAGAAAAGAAAAAAAATAAAGTGTCATAATTATACTGTTACTTATCGGAACGAGTAGACTCATTGGGAACATCTTTAACAATTATCTGTTAAATTTATCGTTGTTTATATGCCCTGCACCGCTTAATGGAATAAGGTATAGTTGGACTTATCTAAAAGATTTTTCCAACAGAAACTAAAATACAAATCTTGTCAAATAACTCAAGAGACTAGATTATTAAAAATCTAATATGAAGAATTAATTTTCTATAAATAACCAAAAGATTCTTTTACAAACTCTTGAAATTTCAATCAGAGCCATATGCATTGGCCCACCCACCCATTTTTGTAGCATTCAAGTAGTTTCACCATAGATGATGAACCTGTTTGAAGGAAGACATCTACAACGCAATTTTTAACATTTAGTATCAGGATAGCAGAAAATTCAGAGGGTTGTCAATAGATCGACCTTCCACGAAATCTTTTAAAAATCAACAAGTTTTAAAATTTTGTGTCAGGAGAGCGGAAGTCGCAAAGGGTCAAACCATAGACGAACCTGTTTGAAGGAAATCGCTAAAAATCCATGATTTTAAAAATTTAGTACCAGGAGAGCAGAAATGATAAAGGATGAGTTAATAGACTGGTTGAAGGAAATCATCTAAAAATCGATCATTTTTAAGATTTAGTATCAGGATAGCAGAAATGGCAAAGGGTTAGTCAATAAATCTACCTTCAGACAAAATTTTAAAAATCAACAAGTTTTAAAATTTAGTATCAGGAGAGCAGAAGTCGCAAAGGGTCAAACCATAGACGAACCTGTTTGAAGGAAATCGCTAAAAATCCATGATTTTAAAAATTTAGTACCAGGAGAGCAGAAATGATAAAGGGTGAGTTAATAGACTGGTTGAAGGAAATCATCTAAAAATCGATCATTTTTAAGATTTAGTATCAGGATAGCAGAAATGGCAAAGGGTTAGTCAATAAATCTACCTTCAGACAAAATTTTAAAAATCAACAAGTTTTAAAATTTAGTACCAGGAGAGCAGAAGTCGCAAAGGGTCAAACCATAGACGAACCTGCTTGATGTAAACACTAGAAATCCACAATTTTAAAAATTTAGTACCAGGAGAGCAGAAATGATAAAAGGTGAATTAAAAGACGAATCTGCTCGAAGGAAATCATCTAAAAGTCCACATCTTTTGGACAAAAATCCAAGGGTACCTCAATTATAAATTTTGCAGGATTTTTTTATTAATCTAGTGCAATATTTTTAGTTCTAATTAGTTTCAAGATATAATATATAATGTGATTCTTTATCCGAATTTGGAATTGATTTTAAATTATTTTAGGGATATCTTAGGAAATAATACCATTGATTTATGAGACATATTTATTGGGAACAATATTTTTTTTACAAATTTTCAATTTATATTATTTACAATTCTTTTCATCTAATTTATGTACAATTAGCTCTCTAGCTTGTAGTCACTGCAAGATGATTCTGGTACTTGATGATGGCTTTCTAGTTATCTGCAATTAATAAAAGAGCAATTAGGAAATAACTTTATATAATTATGACTATTTTTAGATAAAAATATATGCTCTGTCTTAAATTCTACTTATCACCTCATCCCATACAAATTAATGAAGAAACTCACTACTAATATTACTAGTGGATTTGTAGCAACATATTGTAACATTAAAGAAAAAGCAGTTATATATACGCTTTGCAACTTTGCAAAATTACTTTATATTCATTAATAAAAAAGTTATAACAATTAATGTTTAAAAGTCACTAAAAACTTGCTAATAAATATGAGTAACATTCAAAATATCTAAAGTAGGTCACGGCATATGCCTCCCCCGCCATACCCCACCTAGCGTGACTTATAGCGCCACCGCCATTAAGGCCGTATGCATTTTCTTTCTTGTATCATTTCTTATATCGTATACAATTAGACCAAGCAGACATCAGAGAAAAGTGCTCACCAAAAATAACCAAGATTAGTAATATGTAATGCTAATAATAGTAATCACACAAATGTTTACAATATGTGCATGATCTCAGTAATATTTGGGTATTTTTAGTATGATATCTAAAGAAACGAGTTTCAAACTTTTGTTTAGATATGATATACATTGTGTCCCAAAAAATTTTATACAAATGAAGAAATTGTTTATCTTACATTTCACAAATAAAAGTATTCTTGATAAAATGCTCTGCATGACATGGATCATAATAGGTCAAAAATTTTATACAATAGAAGGAAAACAGAAATAATGACTTGATTAAAGTATAACATTTACCAAATAATAGATGGTAATACAATTAAGAGACTTTCATTTTAACAGATCCTACTTTGAAAACTTCATTACTGATAAGTATTTACTCTTTCAAAATAAATATTTAAATAAAGTAATAATTGTATGATTCTTACTACCATTTTAATATTTTAAATTATTCTTAATATAACAGAAACAGGAGCGACAAAATTATCTTCTTTAATTGAAAAAGTATAACATTACTAACAATTCTGAAACAATAATGAGTAGTAGATTGTAGATATTAGGTTTGTTCTAGCAAACAGACAAAATAGTCAGAAACCATCAGCAAACAGTTGGTCAGCGAGAGAAAATAATACAGTCACCAGTGCCACAGAATAATAAACAAACAGAATGCCCACTCTCCACGGAAAATTAAGTACGCGCATCTCCTTTGCGCAGACGTTCCGCCATGTTTTACGAGGATTTTAAAGGGAACCAGTGTTGTTTATGTGGTGTGCATGGAAAAAAAAAACCAGGTTTATTTGACTTACGGCAATCATAGACATACTATACAATTATATTAACAGTTTTAAATATAATATAATTAAACATAAATGTAAACAATTGCATAACCTCACAAATCATATGTTTGTGTCCTCCTAAAACATGGCGCGCGTGCTGAAAAACTTCAAAGGCGGCATCTGAGAGTGGCCCTTCTGATTGTTTATTATTCTGTGCCAGTGCTATATCCCCTCTACTCGCACTGGTCCACTATTCGCTGATGGTTTCAAACCATTTGAAACTGATGCTAGAACAAACCTATTATTAAACATCTAAAGTCCGTCACGGCACATGCGTCTCCCGCCATACCCCACCTAGCGTGACTTGTAGCGCCACCGCCATTAAGAACGGTTGGAATCGGTAAAACATATTTCCCACTTGTCCTATGTCAGTTGCACTATTGTTTGGCACTGTCAAGAGAACGTTTGGGGTGAAGGTAGCTACAAAGAACGTCCATACAACAGCGTGACTTGTAGCGCCACCGCCATTACGAACGGTTGGACTCGGTAAAACATACTTCCCACTTGTCCTATGTCAGTTGCACTACTATTTGGCACTGTCAAGAGAACGTTTGGGGTGAAGGTAGCTACAAAGAACGTCCATACAACAGCGTGGCTTGTAGCGCCACCGCCATTACGAACGGTTGGACTCGGTAAAACATACTTCCCACTTGTCCTATGTCAGTTGCACTACTTACTATTTGGCTTGTGTCATGTTGGGATGAAGGTCTATTTAGAGGTGCAA